TGGCGGCTGGGGATCCTGTTCGTGGGTAGCTGCCACTTATCCTGTGTGGGAGCTGCATCCAGGATTTCTGCTCAGATGGGTGGCCAAATGTTCTGTGGGAGTGCTGATGCTGGTGGTCCCTCTCAGGCACCAGGTAGTCCTGCATGGGTGAATAGTTGGGAGACCTACTCTGATGCTGAGTCCTGGAACCCTGCATGGTCACAGTGGCTGTGATTCCTGTGACCATGTGGAAGCAGGAATATCCCTCACAGAGAAGCAGTGTTCTCACTTGTTGAGTCCCAAGTCATGGAGCAACACAGAATGCTGCCTCTCTCTGGCCCGCCACCTTGGATAGGCCTACCCAGGGTTATTACTGTTTCTCCTATGATTCTTTGATCTACAGTATTATTCATCACAAGTATTATGATTAGGAGTTTTGCAACTTGAACACATTTCAAGAATTTTTTAAAAAAAGAAACATTGTGAAAACTATTCTGTATGTCATCAGACATCTCTCAAGCATCAGGTCACTGCAGAACACACGGAGAAAACTACTGCTTCCTTGTATTCACTAAGCAGGACTCACAGAGGTGTGCCTTGGGCAGATGTGGGTGGGGCCTGTCCTGTAATGGTGGAAATTTTACTTAACAAGGTGGCCATGGATGGTGGAGCTAGAATTTGCATACCAAGTAAAGAAAATTCCTGCCTTTCAATCTTTTTTTTTTTTTTTACTTTGCCAATATTACCACCCACTGATGTAATGAGAGTCACCAAATATAATTAGACTTAGGATAGAGGTACAGATTGACTTTTTATATTTGAAATCAAGTGTTCATATTTTAATTTCTCCCTGAGGGTTTGGCACACCATACATCAGACCATCTGTTTGAAATTATACTTCATAATGGGGTTAAAAAATATCTTTTAAGAAAGGCCAAATAAAGAGTTGTGTACATTGTAGATGGGATCCATAATAATTAGCTTCTTTATTCTCATATTAAACTTTACATTAATATTGTAGGAAAGACATTTTAATATATGATATGAATTGAAATACATTTTTAATTTTTTAAAAGATGTATCACTAGAATATTTCTCTAACATGTAGTGATCATTAAAGACTAAAATTCCTAGAGAATTTATAAAAATTAGCTGAACTACTTAGGCAATATAAACTGTATCATTACATTTATTTTTAGTGCAAATTTTATTTTGCACTAAAATTTCAATTTTTAATTTTAAAATTTTTATTGTAGACAATTCTATATAAATTTATTTCTTCAATATCTTAGAGTGCAATGCGTTTTTATTTCTGATCTATCATGTGTTGAAACATAGTCATGAATTCTCTGCCAAGGGTGAGCCAGACAAATGTTCTTTATCTGTTTTAAAGAATAATGAAATGTATTGATTCCCAAACTATTGCATTCATATAAGAGTTAAAAATATACCATAATTATATATTTAGTATGAAATATAGAAAACTAATTCTATTAATTAAAATCAAAATACTAATTTTACATTGATAGGAAACATCCATATTAATTTATTTTAGGACTTTCAAGCTTTTAAAATACTCATTATTTTGCTATTTCCTCACAGTATTACTATGAATGTAGCTTGGGCCATTTCACTCTTCTCAATGTATAGAAAAGAATTGGCTTAAAGGAGTGAAGTGTTACATGGCTTTTCTAAAACCACTTTGTTTTAGAAGCTGGTAGAGTTCTCCAGTTTCTATTTAAATATTTTCTCATTCTGTAGTTAGCTGCTAGATTCTGTTCTTTCTTCACACAATAGTCAGAAAGAAGTTTGCAAAAATCTTAATAAGATCCTATCACTCACATGATTAAGCCTTGGTACCAAGTGACCATTTTTTTTTTTTTAGGAGATAGCTCCAAATCCTTCATAGGATGGTGGTGGTCCACCAGTGTCCAGCCTCTGCTGTTTCCACCTTTATCACATGCTGTGGCTGTTCCTTGCTCACCAGGCTTCAACTACATGGGGCTTCTCTTTGTTCTTGCCATGTGTGGCAAAGGACTCTGCCCTTGCTGCCCACTGTGCCTGGCATGCTGATCCTTTATCTTCACCCAGCAGCACTGAGTGATCACAGAGGTTTTGGTGTCAATGCTACTCACTCAAAGAAGCCTTCCTCTAATCCACCACACCACATCAGTTCCTCTTGCTTCAACAAACCTTTAATTACTCATCAGTTGAAATGACATGTTTTCCTTTGCGGTAGTTTCTTTGGCACCTGCCACTGCTCTGTTAGTCTGTTGGAATCAGAATCATGCCTCTTTGGTTCATTGTTACCCTCCAGAGCTGGTCAAGTGTTTGGCACATAGTAGCAGCTCAGGGAACACATTAGTTCTAAGAGAATGAATGAATCCATTTGGTGGTATGTAGTTCTTTTCCCCTTTATTAAATGAGGGAATTATCAGAATTTTCTCCTTCCTGGGAATGTGCATATAGAAATGACTTCTGGTACTTGAATGATTTAGGCAACTGTTAAAACATTAGTAGAACAGTTTTTTTTTTTTTTTTAAATAAAATGAGTTAGAAGCTAGAATATCCTCCCTTTGAGGTTTAATTAGAGGATAGCTTAATTAGCATGAGTTAATGCAAGCTCTGTTGCTGTGTGAGGGCTATGATTTATAAACAAAGACTTGGACTTAAGATATGATTTGCAGAACAAAGATTGGACTTAAGATATCCTTTGGTTTTTATGTTTGATTCTTTGTGCTTCATTCAACTCTTTGCTTGTCCTTGGATAGGGAAAGTGCTTTGGAATTCTGCACTTGATTCTGATTTCTTTTTTCTCTATCATGATGTACAGTCTGCCCAGCTATAACATGGCATATATATTTCTAAAAATCACTGTGCTCTGCAAAACCACACAATAGAAACCATAAGGCAGGGAATGTGACTAGGAATGCGATACTAAAAATTTTGTCAGTGACACCTTACAAAAAAAGGAAACTAATAAAAATGGTAGTGGAGTTTTCCATGCATTAAATGGTTAAGAAATACATAAATACTGCAATGAATTTGACATTTTACCTTGAAAAAGACATACAGTTGACTTGTGGGTGTGGGCGTCAAAAGCCATGCAGCTGCTAAGTTATCATAGAGTGAGCACAGAATGATTGTGGCTCATGATGTGCACAGTGGACTGAGGTCTGTTTGAAATGTGGGTATTTTGTGTATTTCTATGCAACTTGGGTCAGCAGGGTACAATATTTTTCTCACGAATGAAGTTGGGCAGAAGCAAATGTGAGATTTGTGTCATGCTCAAGTTGTTCCCTGATTTATCAATTGCACTGAAACAAATTTGTACTTTTAAGAGAAGTATAACAGCAGATCTGACTCAAGTGAGTTCTCAAAGAAAAGAATGTTGATTGTGTGTAGTAACTGAGTATTTTTATTGGTAAAAAATGTATATAATGTGAAATTCGCCATTTTAGCCATTTGTACCATGTTAGCCTAGTTCTTTTCTAAGACCAACATTTTTTTTTCCTTTCCAAAGCTTTCAGAATATCACATTCTAAAGTATCAGTATAAAATTTTGATTTGTTTCTGATGTTGATAAAAGTAACTGATTTGGGAGTTAAAATTGATTAAGGACTTAACAAAAAAGATTGCTTCACAATTGATAAGTGAATGTTTCCAGTAATACTATTAGGTCGTGTGCTAAATGTAAAAAAGTGCATTTGCACTTGCAACCTACTCATCATCTCCAACAGATGTTTATCCAGCTGAAAAATTATGACAAATGTATATGGAAAATAGCAACAGCATAACATTAAAGGTGTTAAGTATAGTAGGCGCTATTGGAATCCAAGGAAGGGAGAGAATGATGGTCGGTGAGGAAGAATTCCAGAAGGGGTGGCTATAGCTGAGCCTTAGAGAGGCCCTTGGTTTCCAATGGAGACCGTAGAGAGTATTTGAAGCAGAAGCRAGGACATGGTCAAAGGTGCAGAGGAAGGGGGATGTGTAGGCATTTTTAGAGGATAATGATTTATTTCTAGATGAGACTCTGATATTTTCTTCAGGACAAATTCCCCCTCATAAGTTAGAACTAAAGAAAATTCATCTTTTGTGTCACTTTCTATGAGTACGCCCCATGTGATGGATCGCATTTAACCCTGAGTAATCCATGTGACAGAGTAATAGAATTTGATTAATGGCAACATAGAAGTCTCTGCTTCTCTTCTTTCCTGTTAGTAATTTATGTTCCTCATAATAAAACTATGCATCTTTGGTTTTATCATAGAATTACATATTCATATAGAAAGTGCTCAATTTAGTAGCAGCAATAAGTATGGCATGCTTAAAAATGGCAACAAGAATAACAGAATCCAAACAAAACAAAAAGAGAATAGCTAAATCAATTTTATAAGGAGGATCTAAGCCCTTGCAGAACCAACTACTCTGAGTCAGTCTGTCTTTTGATCCATAGTCTCCATTGGTAAAATGATCTATTTATCTAGAATTATAAAAACAGTGGGTGATTTGGCTTATTTTTATCTCTGAAAACCTCATATGGCAAAATTAAAACTCATTCATTATCTTGTAAACTTGAAGGTTTTTGTCCTTTTATGAAAACGGTAATATAAAGAATATGGCAAAGATTGAGAACATGAAATAATTTTGAATAGGTATAGTGCTCCTATTAATTACTATCTGAATTACTTTGCTTTAGATAGTCTTTTGGAGTCATCATTCTTCACAGAAAGCAACTTGGTTTAGGGGAAATCATAAAATTTTGGAATCAAATCATCCACTACTCAAAATCTGTTACCTTTTGGTCTCTGTGAAGTTGGATACTTCATTTACATATCACTGATCCTTGGTTCCCTCGTCTATCACAATAGATAAATAACAGAATCTATTTCATGGGGTTGTCACTGGGATGAAATTAACACATATGACACTCAAGCTAGCACTTAGGGACCAACAGCTATTACTAGTTATTTTTTTGTCCTAAATACATTCTTGAAAGTTCTTCCCTGTGTCTTTCACAGCATGAGAAGCTGATACATGAACTGGAAGAGGAGAGACACTTGCGTCTTCAAAGTGAGAAGCGGTTGCGGGAGGTGACCCTTGAGTCCGAGCGCAACAGAGTTCAGATGCGCGGTCTGCAGCGGCAGTTCTCCAGGTACTGTTCTTGACTGAGAGGTGTCCCTTTGTGCACCCTTGGGCTATGTTTCCATTGCTCAAGCTGATTTCCTAACACTTTAGATTTTCTATTTTGACTAAGCCATCCTATGACATCTGGGCCAATTTTCTGAAACTTTTCACTTACCCTTGAAGTAGTCTCGGCTATATTGACACTGGTCGCCTGCTTTTTGCCCCAAAGGCTTCTCAAAAGGTGTTGTCTTTGTGACCTATGACCATGTCCAGTGTCAGGTCGGTCAGAGACATGAGATTGTGCTTGTCATCCCAGTCCTAGTAGGTGAGTGTGGATCTAATCATTCAGAAAAAAAATTCATTTAGGGCTGTCATAGCTCAGTGGTGGAGCGTTTTCCTAGCATGTGTGAAGCACTGGGTTTGATCCTCAGCACCACATAAAAATAAATAAAAGAAAGTAAAGATAGTATATCCATCTAAAACTAAAACAAAAAGTTTTGAAAAAGAAAAAACTTATTTATGTGTGCTAAAGAAAAAAAAGCAAAATAAAACAATGCATTCCTTTTTTTGAAAACAATATATTCCTTTCTTTAAAAAAGATGTAACTAGCTGAGAGCGGTGTCACACAAGGATCGAAAGTTCAGGTCCAGCCTCAGCCACATAGTGAGGCCCTAAGCAACTCTGTGAGACGCTGTCTCTAAATAAAATATAAAAAAGGGCTGGGAATGTGGCTCAGTAATTGAGCGCCTCTGGTTTAAATTCCTGGAATCAAAACTTTAAAAAAAAAAAAAAAGATATAACTAAAATTTGAAGGGAGGATTCTGAAAAAGGAGCTGTTTTTAGATTTGATTCTGGCATAGTTAGAATCTTTCAACTGCAATTATAGTTAATATGGGGCCAGGTGACAGTTCAACCCATTATGTTAAAATCTATTCAGGTACATGGGAAAAAAATAAAACTCGTACATTTACATTCCTTAGACCAGATACAGGGCCCCAGTGAGGGACAATGTGCTTTCATTTCTATTTTTCACCATTTATAAAACCAGGAAAATAATTTGTTTCACTTCTCCGACATGGACTTATCCCAAGCAGTATCATGTTTGGGCAGTTGCTTTACAAGGCTTTGCCAGCGAACTGTTAGGGATCTTGCCTTTAACTTGTCAGTGGGATTTGTATGATTATAGATCAGTATTTGATGCTCTAGATTACTCGTTATGAAATTATATAATGGTAGTTTAAGTTTTTCACATGTTGCAGAGAGATCAAATTTCAGCCTTCAGGTTATTTACCTCACTGTGTCTAATATGATGATTGCTGTGACTCTGGTTTAGGGGCTTCTTAAGGAACAAAGCAGGAAGAGTGGATGACTTCTCTGTGTTCAGGATCATAAGTGAACGCCCTGTTAAGCTATACAAGATCATGATAATGCACAGGTGCTGTAGAAATGCACCAATCGATACTGTAACAAATCTACACTCCATCCCTCTCAGGCTGTTACTGACACTACTTTATATCCTCAGTTTTTCTTCCATTTGATGGGAATGCTCATCTGTGTCCCAACTGGAAATAATAGATTCCCCCCAGACCAACTTTAAAAGAAGTATCATTTTTTTTAATACTTGCCATTTTAATGATACAGGAAAGGAGGAGGCAGATCTTGCTTTTTTTTCCATGTCTAATTGAGATGTCTCTATATTCAAGCTATTGATTTCCATGATGTGAGACACATGGCACAGTGAATTATTTTCATATGATGCTGGGTCATCTGCTGTACATCAAATGACAATCCTATACAGATTTGAATTATAGAAGAGCAAGATTGTATCCTAAGCTGAAAGAAAAGATAATTATATGTGTGATAAATAGTGGTTGATTCTACATACTGCTTTTGTGAGGATTTTTTCCCAGTATAATCAGTTTTCTTATGTAAACCTTCATTGAAACTGAAAAGTTCAAGTCCAATTACAGCTAGACAACTAATATAAATCAGTGAAAGATGGAGGGGGATAAGCATAAATAAGAGATAAGATAATTACACTATAATTTGGGGAGATCTAATGAACCACATCTGATAGCCTTTCATAGTTTAAATTTTGGTTTTGAAGATATTTCTACTAATGCTTATTTAAATAATCCTGTTAATTTAAGTCTTTATAAAATTTTCAGTATTATAGAATATGCCCTCGGACATGCTTAGCATTTAAATGTTCATATAATTTATATAATCCACACTATTACATTGAATTAAAAATTTTATATTCATAATTTTATCACTTTTACTCTGGGTTGATCAGTTCATTTGGTATGGGGTTATTATTTGGGATTCGGACATAATTTGTTCATGAGCTGAGGTTTCCTTTTAAGATTGTTCATAATCTCCTATCTCAAAGAATGTGGCATGGCTTACAATAAAAGGTAGATTTACAGTAAGGCTGGAAAAATAAAAACAGAAAATAAAGATCACAAAAGGAGAATGTCAAATAGGCATAGTCACGTAGCCCAACAGGTTTTCTGAGAATGAGTGGCTAACATGTTGCAAAGGAAAACACAAGAGGTATGTAATTGTTATATCATAGTCAAAGGCTACTGTTTCCTAAATAGAGAAACACTATCTATGGAAATAAGTTCATAATAGAATGTATCAGATAGGGCTCTTCATAGGAGACATTGATGGATACAATAGACATTGGTTCAAGATGATGAAAATTAGGATAATTCTTAAGAATGCTACTACTTCCACTATGTCACTTAAGTCTGAAAAGTTAAACAGTTTATGAATTTTGTAATACATGAAGTAAGAATATCAGGTTTATGTCTGAAGGATCACTTGAAATAAGAACTTTTCTATTGCCCAATGCTCTTAAGTCAACCACTGTATGTACTTTCTATTTTTTTTTTTTTCCACAGAGCAATAAGATACAGATGCCTGAGTTTGGTTGTACGAAGGGTTTCTTGGTATATTTGATAGCATAATAAATAGGGGAGCCTTTAATATAGCACCTAAGGACTTCCAATTTCAGCTTCAGAGATAATATGAGGCAATGGAGAAGGAACTGAATAAAAAGTTAGATACTGAACAGTTAGGGGCATGTGGGAGATGGTGTTCTTCAGATGCCAAGATGAGTGATTGAAGAAAGCAAGTCTAGGTTCTGGTTTATGATATTTCAGCTGTGTGCTAGGCCTGATGGCTTGAAGACACACAGCAAATCTGAATATTTGTGATTATCTGTGTTAAGGAGTAATAGGGTCACTTACGATAAAAATACATAAAGGTGTTTGAGTGAGCGGTTCCCTTTATATCACCCTCAAATTTCCATCCATGATGCCTTCCTCCCTCTTGACCTCTGATTAGGGTATGATGAACAGCAATAGTCCAAACTTTGGACAATGAAAAGAAAAAAGAATATGCAACCAGAAGCCACATAATCAGCTCAAATTCATAAATCAGAAATTCCCTGCATGGAGAGGGTTGCAGACAAATATAACAAACTTCTTCTGGCCATTTATATTCCTTAATGTAAATGGAGAGAAGGAAAAAAAATAGATACTTTCAAATTAAGCCCTCCCCACTGTTGACAGAACCCGTTTAATAAGGGGTACCTGAGGCAGGTGGTGGTGTCATTAGGGCCTTCTCTTGCTGCTGTTGTTATTTGGTGATATAAATTAAAGATGCTTTCCAGATGTGATTGTGATTGCCTAACCGCTGTCTGGAGGAATACATGGCTGGGCATATTTTATGAGGGATTCATTTTGTAATCATCTGTAATTCCGTAACTCTCTTCCCACCCTGAATGCTTGTTGGAATTGTGCTTGTGTCCCCTGCCAGCTTAGTGGTGTAGACTGAGGCTATGTCACTGCCTTCTGGTCTGCGTCAAGAAATAAGAGTTTAGCCCAAGCCTCTTTATTCCATTGGAGTTAATGAACTGTTTGCACAACAGCTAGATTCACCTCCAAGTTGGGTGGGATTTGTTGACTTGCAATAATAGCTATTTTTTTWAAAAAATAGGYTTGTGAAGTCCTAAGCATTTCTACAAGAACTGATTTTATATAAACCATATACATAATCATATGTACAACACCATATTATAACATAACTGTAAATGAGAGAAATTTTGTCCAGTCTCAGGACAGCCAGATTTCAGACTTGTTAATGGATTATGCTGATGCATGAATAGTCAGAAGAAATTAATGATTGACACATTTGAAGCTTTAAATTAGAATTGTTCTGGCAGATACGCCACCTGGCTGCCACACTTGAGAAACCCTCTTTGGTTAGCAAACTGTATCACATTCGAAGTTTCAGGAACTCTTTATATTCCTTAATGTAAATGCAGAGAAGGAAAAAAAATAGATACTTTCAAATTAAGCCCTCCCCACTGTTTACAGAGCCCTTTTAATAAAGGCTACCTGAGGCAGGTGGTGGTGTCTTTAGGGCCGTTTATACACCAGGCATTGTACATCTAAGCAAGGGGAACAATTAGGTTTTGTCATTCTTAATTATCCAGAATAGTTAAAAATCAACCAAGTCCATTCCAGGCTTTCCCCAGGATTTCTCTGCCCCTGTTCTGTCCTTCCCCCTGGTGCTGTGATCTGCTGCCTTGGAGCTGTCTCTTTGCTTACTGTAATAGGGATTCTCCTGTCATAGTTGATTGCTATGCTTAAGTGCAGTCTGCTGCCTGCTGAACTTCAAGGAGCCATAAACGGGTATGGTTTCACCACTTGACTTGTTTGCTGGTTGCTGTTCACATTATGGGCTCTCAGAGACTTTATGAAATCCTAGGGTTCATATTCTGCTGCCCATTCTGAAGCTGTAGGCACCTGGCATAGAAGTGAGTGTGAAAGAGGATAATATGCCCTTAAATGTGCTACCCACGTACTCCATTCTGCCTCTATATCTGTCTGGTACATTAAAAGAACATTTTCTCTGCATCTTTAGAAGGAGTGAAATACAACAAGATGAAAAAAGCTGTCAATTGACCTTTGGACAATCAACAGCTCTTTTATTCCTCTTCTACATTTGTTCCCA